GAGGCTTCCTGTTTCTGGAAAGCCCCCATCTACCCTATGTGAGCCATAGTCTAAACTCCTTAAAGGGGGGTTATATAAGGGATTATATAGGGGGCTACTATAGGGGCTATTAAGGGGGATACTGGGGGTTTAGATGATAGCTCATATAGCCCCATTTTTAGAGGGACTGTAGTCTTTATAGGGCCCCTTTGGGGTTTCCATGTTAGTTTCCAGGAGTGTACTTACAACTGGGCGGTATCGCCCTGCTTATAATACCCTTAGCCGTGCTTATGTGAGTTACCCTAAGTACAAGTAAGGTTATGAGCTCTGGTTATAAGTAGTTACTAACCCTAAACTAGTTTAGGGTTTAGGGTTTAGGGTTGCCCTAAACCCTCGTGAACCTTCAGGTAGCAATGCCAGGAGTCACAGCACTCGTGTCTTAACATTGGAGGGTTCTGCAAGTGAGCTACGACATCATTGAGCTATAGTCTTAACTCCTTAAAGCCAGTTATACCAGGGATTATATAGGGGAGTAGTATAGGGCTTATTAAGGGGGATACTAGGAGTTTAGACTATAGCTCATGTAATGCGGACGCTGGAATAATCCCCAACGCTCTCCCCCAATAATGACACGTATTTCATTGGCAGGCTGTCTTTGCTTACTGGTGCTCAGTAGGGAATTAGGGAAGATGATGTCACATAATCCCTATATACTATATTCCCCTCTTCCCTATCGGTCAGGGACAGTTTAGTGTTCAAGCTCTAAGCAGGAGTCCCAAGACGGGCCATAATGCAAGAGTGTCATCCTTAAACCCTGTATAACCCCATTTATAGTAGTTTCCATTTTCTTTTCCATTATACCAATATACCCCAATATATACCCTATAACCCCTGTATAATCTCTCATGAAAAGCCACCTCGCCACCTTTTGGGTCGATCCAAGCCGCAGATGCTGCCCTGATGTCGACCCTCCTACTCTTGCTAGCTTGGGAAGGGAGTAGAGTAGTCTCTTCTCAATCCCGGTATCATAGAGTTTAGGGTTTAGGGCCTTGAGGGTTTCGGGCTTGTCCTGACTTAGCGTGGGTTCGCTCTTCTTAGCTTAGCGGGCCTTCATTTGGTGGAGTCAATAATCTTGTTTCTGAGTCTCCCGACATGGGCATTCTCACATGGCTCAAGCTTCCGTGGCTGCGTGCGTGTCTGTCCGCGCCGCATCTGCGATCAACAGCCTTTAACACCGCAGTGTCAAGTTTCATTCAGCTATGGTACCTATGTATATGGGAGTTTCTCAAAGTGTCCCCTGTCAAATCTTCCATGACCTGTAACCCCCACATATCCCTTGGATCCTCGAGGGCTCCTCACTTTGAGGAAGCCCAGGGCATATGGTCTCTCATGCAACGACTTACCATGTTGTGTAAAAGCCCTTGCATACTAACTCCCTATTGTTACAGCTTCCCAATCAGTCACCATATATATATATATATATATATAGGGGGACACATCGGTATGAGGGGTTTTGAAGTCCTGTCTATTTCGCGGCACAGGGCTTAGAGTTTAGAGTAGTAGCACGTGGTAGTTCAATTTCATGTTCCATTTGATTCTCCATTATTGGAGGGTAATATCCCTAGAATATCAGTGATACGAAGTTGAAGTGTTTACGTCGCCAGCTGAATACCCGTGCAGCCTCCGGACATGAACGTAAGCTCAAAGCCTGCGAATGCGGCATCTACAAACAAGCAACATAAGGTATGGCCTGGTTCTATAGTCCCCCTTAAGTAGATAGAATATGGTTTTGGGTAAATTATAATAAGATCCCCATATACCCCATATTCTATCTACTTAAGGGGGACTATACCCCTCCAGAGTTCCTCCGTGATGTATCAGAGAAGCGTGAGTGCAGACCACCTGCTCAGTCGCCATGGCGTTGCGCTGCTGTAGCCTGCTGGATGAGGTATGCAGGCACAAGATGGGACCTCGTCGGAACTTGCCGGCGAGGCCTTGGTCTTGAATCTGGAGTCCCAGCCAAGTGACCTGAACGGAGAGCTTGATCGGCTTCATCAAGATCCTCCTGAAAAGCGGGGTGGTTACACTTGCCTGGCAGTCTATGGCCTGTCAGTTGTTCGCTTGGGGCCTTTGGAGCGGGTGCTGAAGGAGCTGCCGAACCTGCAGAAGATAGTACTCCCAGACAGGAATCCGGATAAAGTCTTCCTGCAGTTCCTTAAAGAGGTAGTTACAGAACACCAGCTGGCTCAGAGCATGAAGATAGCCTTCAAAGATGGCACAGAGGTGAGCATCGGGTCTCTATTCCGGCCCTAAACCCTTACCCAGACCCCTGGGCGGATCTAGAAAGTAGAACCCCCTTAAGGGTTCCTAGGAATTACACAATAGTAGTATAGGGTACCAAATTGGGGGTTCTACTTTCTAGATCCTCCCAGGGGTCTGGGTAACCGTGTGTATGGAGGCTTGTGGATATCTTCAGCCATGGCAGAGGAGAGACTCAGGGTGCTGCTGATGTGAAGCTGAGCTGCTACTGTTACTTGCGCGGCCTTCCTGGAGCTTACGGCACCTTTCCTACTTGAGCTATAGCCTAAACTCCTTAAAGGGGGTTATGTAGAGTTTAGGGTTTAGGGTCTAAAATCCTTAAAGGGGGTTATATAGGGGATTCTATAGGGGAGTATCATAGGCATTATGAAGGGGGATACTGGGGAGTTTAGACTATAGCTCATTTGGCTCAGTCAATGGCAGCGACAAAGATAAACGCCGTGCACTTTGAATTTCAAGAAACCATTGCTGCCCCAAACTAAGATGGTGGGTTTAGGGTTTAGGGGGTTTAGGGTTTAGGGGTTTAGGGTTTAGGGGGTTAACGAAGGCGGAGCATAAAGACTACTGTCCCTTCTAGTAGCATCTTCTGTGGCCCTGTTAAGCAAAACATGTTGAACAACAATTGAGTAGTGTTTGGGGAGACTGTGGTGCCCAATATAGAGTAAGATTCTCTCCTCTTTTTGGGGTATAGCATTTTACATAAGTTACATAAGGAATATAATCTTACTAGGTTTAGGCACCAAAACAACGCTACTCAATTCAGATCCCATGATGCAGTGTGCGAGCCTAAACCTCGCGCGAACCACAACGGCACGAGCCACAGTGGATACTGGAAACCTTGCATCCCCTTCCCAGACCCTCTAAAGGATCCAAAAAATGGAACCCCCTAATAATCCTGATTTTCTCAATGTAGTAATGGGTTCATATTGGGGGGGTTCCATTTTTTGGATCCTTTAGGGGGTCTGGGTTAGTACCCTTGGGAATTGTGGCATTCTGGTATACTAAAGTCACGCAGAAGCTTGAATATCAGCAGCACTACCGTAAAAAACCTTAGGAGGCCCTGTAGCTTCCGGGGGAGTGATTGATGGCTACCAAACCCTAAGCCCTTAATCCTAAACTCCCACCAGCGCCCCGAAGCCCATATTGAAAAAGCTAGTCAGCCCTTCCCGCCCTAAACCTTACAACCTAAACCCTAAATGAGCTTGTCCATGAGGTTGTCTTGTGTTGTGGAGGCTATTGGCGTCCTGATTTTTTTAGTTATCGATCATCATTCCCAAGTAGGCTGCCGAATTCAATTTTTCGGAGGGCTTGAGGGCAGATAGAGACAAGCGTTCCAAAGCTAAATCCAAAGCCTCTACCCTCCAAACCTGCAAACATCATAAAACTCTGAGAACCTTAGATCCTGGAGCTCTGAGCTAAGCCTAGGCCCTAACGCCGCTTAAACCCTAAAGGCCAAACCCCACAGGAGGTTTAGGGCTTAGGGCTTAGGGTTTAGGGGAGAAGGCTTAACTGATGTAGAAGCCTCAGTACTTCTCATGTAACCCTTATAGGGTTTAGGGTTTAGGGGTCTAGGGTTTAGGGTATATAGTCATCGGAGTATACCCCAAGGTCTTATTGAAATTTGTTGCGCATCTCATATAACAGGCTGTTTCGACCCAGCTTCCATTTTATTTCCATGTCCTTATCTATGTGATTTTCTACTATCACATCCCCGAAAAGGAGCCCTAGTCTAATCATATAGCCAATTTTCCGTTTTCTTTTCCATTCTTCTAATTATTTCGGTCCCTGAATGACGAAATATATTTGTATATATATATATA